GGAATTTTTGTCGGTATGGCGTTATTCCAACTTTGAGAAATAAAAAAGGTACAAAATAGAAAAAGGTGCGGTAGAAAGAATTGATATCGATGTGAAATTAGAAGTTGTTTGCTAATTTTGGTTCCAAGTAATATGCGAAGTCTAAATTTTATTCTTCATCGTTTAAGCAACATTACCGTAAAAATTCAAGCTATGCATTCTGGTGACATAATATTATTATGGATAATAGTATTGCTGCCTCTGACAAAAACTAATCAGTATTAAAGAAATTCTAATAATGAAATTCATCAGGTGAAACACGAAGTTGGATTGACTTCTAAAAAAGCCTCACAGTTAGGAAACGTCATTACAACAGTTTATAGGACTCTTAAGGTCAATAAAATATTTAAAAAAAATATAACTTGTAGATAAAAATTCCTGATATTTTATGATGATGATTATGATTTTGGGATTATTATTTGGTGAAAAAATAAATTATAAACAATATCAGTAAATATCTGCTCTTCTTCAATTTCGTTACAATTCATACTCAATTAAAAAACTCTTTGTCAATGAATTTTTCGAACTTCGTCTAGATTAATTTAATAAATGAAGCGAATGAATAATAGAATAATACTAAATTGTTTCAGATTTTTTACCTACAGAACTCTAAGAGTTAAAAACTAAATAATGTGTAGATTTCAGTAAAAACTCTGTTAACATATGACTGGCACGTGTGTCGAATTGAAAAATCGGAAGTTTTCTTAAACGATCAATAAATATCTTAACGAAAGATCAGAGTTTAAAAGGGTGCAAAAGTCAACAAGACGGATCTTTTAGGCCTTTTAATTGGTTAATTTTAAATACGAGCTTCTAGGCAGTAATGTTTTACTTTTCTTGATATATTTTGAGAACAAAACTGTTGTGAGTACTTACTGAATTAATATTATTGGCTAACTTGTTCAAATTGGTTCAATTTGTTAAAAAAATGACATGAAAATTGTCAGATAACTGAAGTTATTCACTTAATACTTCAGAGTTTTGTGAAATATGCATATTTTAAAATTATTTATTCATTCGTATAACAGCATTACTCTATCATTTATAATATAATTATAATATTTAGTAACAAACATTTTTTAACTATAAAACTATTAAGAATAGAATCAAGCAGATAATCAAATTATGCAAATCAAATATCTATATATAGATAACAAAACTTAACAAAACTCAATTTATAAAAAAAAATATAAATTGACGAATAAATATATTTGTCAATTTATATATTTTGTATAAATTGAGTTATGTTAAATAAAAAGTAAAAATATTTTAGAATAATATCACACTTCAAATCGCCACTAATCATCTTTCGAAATTAATAATTGTGATAGATGTAAAGATAGAATCATAGTAGGAGAATATAGTAAAGATGAAAAGACGTTCGTATATTATGCAGTAGGTCAAAGCATAATAAACTTTTTGTAAGACTTTTGATATACAAACTATTAATTATATATCGTCATATATATCATCATTCGTTTATAGTAATTTTATTATTTTGCGATCGTTAACTAGATCTCTAAACATATGACGAGCGAATCATCATAAGCCACCGACTCTCTTTGTCGGCCAGATGATTAATATCAGTCTCTAAGTCTAAAGGAAGGAGCATAGTAAAATAATAGACATAGTTTGCAAAAGGAAATTCTTAAAATTCGTACACATTATCATAATTGTTACATCAACGTTTTCCATTTGAAGAAAAGAAGTCCCATTGATTTGAAATTTTGTTTGATGCTGTCGAACTCTGGTAAAAAATTGTTTCAGTCCATTACAATTTGTGAAATTGTTCAAGAGATATAAGATTTGTAGTAAGAATTAATCTCTGAATATATGACGCGAATCATCATTTAAAATGGGCTTCTATAATGGGATAGTATTTTAAATTTTATTGTTATTAACTTACTGAAGGTTGATTTTAAACTTATGTACAATATTGTTATTTTGATATATTTTTTTTTCAAAAGTATGTACCGAGTACTTGTTAATACGCCAACATGAGCACAAAAACAATGAAATTCGAATACATTCAAACAATTACAAAATCTGCCTCGAGGATCTTCCAAACTAACTTGCGAGAATTACTCCACGACACTACTAGGGAAAGATTGAAAAAGAAATTCATAGCGGGGCTTAAAGGTCCGCGGATAAAAGGCCACCGATATCTCAAAAACAAGTAAGGTTAAGAATTTTCTATCAACAATACTTGAAAGTAGAGGGAAAAAATGTATAACCAGTCACAATCTTGATTCGCACGACGTTGCTATCGGAAGATAAACGGCAATATTTGAAAATATTGCGGGCGTTTTAGATAAAAAAACCTAACTTAGAAAACGCACAAAGGTCAAAAAAACGATGTAACTTTTCAGATATGACTTGATAAAATATGGGTGAAGTTGCAATTTGCTATGTAAAACGTCTGATGGCATTTTAGTACCATTTTGTATGAACGTACGAGCGTAGAGCACAGTAACATAGCCTTGCCATTACATTGGTATATCTATTTTACGGCAGAATCGGCTCCTAAATTATGTTTATAAAAAGAACGACTAAACAGAATAATTGTCGTAAATCGAACAATTGGGAAAGCGAGGCTGAATTTAGTAACAAGTATATAAAACTTCATAATCATATCATACCAACTTTCATTAAAAATTATAGAAGTTTTCGAAAAACGAGGGTAAAATTTGATTCCGGCCGGGATCGAACCGGCGGCCTTCTGCGTGTAAAGCAGATGTGATAACCGCTACACCACGGAACCTCTGCAGTTAACTTTAAATGTAACAATCAAACCGAATAGTAGATCGGTAAGAAAGTACTTTCTTACCAAATTTACTTTCACTAAATCGTAATACCACACAAATCAGTAATAAATCCAGTTATCTTTAATATAAAAATGAATCGCAAAATGTGTTGCTAAGCGCATAACTCAACAACGCCTGGACCAAATTGGCCAATTCTTTTTTTAAAATGTTCGTTGAAGTGCAAGGATGGTTGTTCTCACGGCGAGAAAAAAAATCGAATAATTGCCGATAATAAATGCCGATAATTAAAATAATTAATGATAATAATGATTTTTTATCTAAATAAATTGTACTTACACCTTTATAATCATGAGTTGACTTTTCCCAAATATTTTTGAATAAATTATAAAAGTTAGCTTTTTCAAAAAAAATTATAATAATTGAAAGTACATGCAATAATACCTACAACTTTTATTTCTTACAATAATTCACATTACTGTTACTTAATGTTTTTAACAATTGTAGCAGTGATTCAATAATTAAAAAAAATGGGAAAATGCTCCTGCACTGATAATGCAGTTAATAATTAAAAAATTATATAGCTTATTGGAAAATTCAAGATACAATAGGCATCTGAATCATAATCATCTGAAAAATTATTAAACTTCAATACAACTATGATCAGTAATCAATCCAGAGTTAGCGACTGTTTCAGTATTACAAAATAGGAAAGTTATTAATGAATTTTATGCTAATTCTCAAATTTGATTATTTTCACTGATGATGACATAAAATTATATATCAAAACGTACGGAAAATAGAAATTATATAAAGTTTTTGCATTTATTCATTTATAAAATAATTGATTTAATGCTTTCCAAGATTTTATTTTAATGCATACACATACACATTCACGCACACCCTCTCACACACACACACACATATATATATATATATATATATATATATATCATCTAGCTGTGATAGCGTCTATATATGTGTATGTGTCTGTATTGCATATGTATGTATATGTATATATATGTATATATATATGTATGTATATTTGTGTGTATGTATGTATATATGTATATGTGTATGTGTATGTATGTATATATGTATATATACATATGTACATGTCCGTATGTATATGTTTATATATACGTATTATTCGTATGTATATGTGCATATGTGTACGTGTTTTTACATGCATATCATATATACATGTTTGTGTGTTTATTTATGTATATATATTACGCTTTTGTATGTTTATATATATTTCTTTTTACTTTTCATTTCTCTTGTTTATCTATCTGTTAAGTATAATTGTTATTGCTATAATTATATTACTTATATCTATAGTTCTTTTTCCAATTTCTGTCATTTTTTCCTAGATTATATTAATTTTTCAATATTCATTCTGTAGATCCACTGATGATGACATAAAATACTATGTCGAAACGTTTGGAAAAATTAAAGATTAACTTCTAAATCTTTGCCTTTTATTTGATGTATGCCCTTGAAGAACTTACTCATATATATATATATATATATATATATATATATATATATATATATATATATATATAATATTAAATATATATATATATATATATATATATATATATATATATATATATATAATATTCTATGTGTGTGGATTAAACCAATGGCAATAAAAAACTGTGACATGTGCCTACGCCCAGAATCTTGCTATTGGTCCAGATGCTGATCAAGAAAAACCTTAGACTAAAATTTTTCTTTAAGTTAGGTTGTAGTAGTGATCTTATAAGCAATGAGTAGAAAATATCTCATCAAGATTTTCTAAGGAACAAAGATCCTTCGTTAGTTGATTGTGATTTCGTTAAGTGAATACACTCAATATAAATAGTAAAATAGTTGGTTTGAAAATTACCGATAGTACTAAACTTATTATTATTGAAGAATTAATGAAATTAAATGTAATATGCAAAGAGTAAATTTGAAGTAAAAATTATTCTTTCTAAAAATCTATAAAAATTGCTTAAACTTTTTAAATGGCAAAATTTTAAATTTTTAAAATATCTTATTTTGCCAAAAAAAAATAATTTTAAAATAAATAAAATATTCTTACATTTCTGTAATTAAAGTAATATATTAATTTAAGTAGTGATAAAAAATTAAATGAAACCGTTATAAATAAAAGTTATTCAAATGGAAGATCATACATATATACCCTCCATGGATCAATTGATCAACTACCCTCACATGTTTTACCAAACCGCCCAATACATGCATTTGTCTGCATATGAAGGAATTTCACCACAAAATCAAGAAGTCAAATCCAACCATCAGCAATCTTATTGCTTGCAAAGATATCTACAAGAACTTCAACCAATTATAAATGATACTGCAGAAAATTATTATATAAACCCAATTTCCAAATCTAATTTTTATCGCAGTGAATCTTTACGAGGTGGTGACAATAATGCACTAAATTGCCAGAATGTATATTATGAAAATGTTCATCAGTCCATAAATTTAAATAACAATCAGAGTGAAAAATTGTCAATTCATGGTGATAATGTTAAAAAATTAAATTCCGAAATTAAAGATGAAACAGGGATAAATGAAATAAATGATTTTATTGAGGAAAATTACTCAAATCGTGTGGATACGAAGGCGGTTCAGGTATGAATTTTAAGTGAATAAGAAGTTATAGATTATTTAATAATTTATAACAATCTTTTTTAACAATACCTGGACAGTATTTCATTTCATTCGTTTCAAAATAGGAGGCATTGTAAGGATTTGATATAAGAAATAAAAAAAATGGTTTCGATATTTTATAATTTGCAACATTTAAAATGTTCATCAATTATTGTTTTTCTTTAGCTAAGGGACATATGTGTAATATTTATTTCATACATATTCCTTACTTTAAATACTTCATTTATCTTTAACAATTTCAGGAAAACGAAACCATCATTTCTACGAGTGAATTAAAAGTAACACCAGTTGAACCAACTACTTTGTTAGTTAATGATAATATTTCTTCAAATATAAACGAAGAACAATCTAATAATTCAAAATTTAATAGTGCTAATAAAAGGAAATACAGTGCCTACGCTAAAATCGCAGACAACGTCTATGCAAAACTTCAAGACAATCTAGGTATGATGAACAAATTTTCTAAAATAATTCTGAAATTTCCGTCGATTAAATAATTGAAAATGCAAAAATATTAAAATGATTTTCATATGCATTTTTAACATGCCATAGAATAAGTGAAGCTTGGTAATGCATACAGTATCTGCATATTTTTCAGAAGACGACTCGAACAAATCAATTACAGTTAAAAAATATACAGACAAATTAGTGAGATTATGAGATTTGTACTAAAAAATGAAAATTTTTAATATACTAACTGCATCTACTTTAAACTAAATTCATTAACTTTGGAAGTGTATTTTTTGAGTTTTTTCTCTGATACAGTGTAGACTGTATTAAACACTAATTTGTTTGTATATTATGTATTTGATGCAGTTCTAATTACAATCACTGATTTGTTACTTAGTTATAATAAAAAAAAGATATATCTATTGCTTATTTATTATACATGTTGTTTCGCGGACTTTACTTTTAGAAGTGAACAACTAGTTCAATAAGAATTTTTTGCTACCCCCTCTACCAGGGGTAGCAACCATTCTGTGTAAAGCTTAATGCCCTGAAGGTTGTCACCTTCATGGCCAATATAATAAAACAAAAATACGTCCAAACAGTCTCTTTGAATTAATGTTAGTCTTCAACCTAGAATTCTATTGTAAAGTATTAGAAAAGCTTACACAAAATTAAAAAATCCATAACATTTGCTAGCATTACAGAAGACCACATCAGCCACATTATCTATTTCCAAATCACTATTGGAAATAATAAATTATCTGAAAATTATTAAAAAGAGTGCGCTAAAAATGCATTTATTTTACATAATGCTTGTATTGAATCAATTGGTTGATATAAATGATATAAGACATAAACTTATTCAAAGTAAAATTTTCCACATTAAATAAATGAATAAATACATTTTTATTTTCGAACAAAGCTCTGTTCCAAAACCATCTAGATTTGTCGTACAGTTATGTGGAAATTTTTTTGGCTTTTCTATGTAAAGCAACGGTTACTCTTGTGCATTTTTTACTTGGACAGTAAAATGAAGTAATTCTTTCAGTACTATTAAACATTGAAATATAAACATGTGATTTTTGCATGCATTTGGTGCATTTTGATCAACTGTACAAGCCATGTGCGAATTCAAAAATTGCAACTAATTATGTACCCGTCGGTTCCGTGGTGTAGCGGTTATCACATCTGCTTTACACGCAGAAGGCCGCCGGTTCGATCCCGGCCGGAATCAAAATTTTGTTGCAAATTAATCGGAATCATTAATTTACCTCATGTTGCTTTTAAGCAAATATGTAAAAATTGAAATATATCGAATAACGATAAATAAAATGAACTTAAATCGTATAAGTTAAACAGTAATACAATAGATTACTTATTAATAGAAGAATGAAAATTTATGTGCATCAGGAATTGTAACCCCTCGGTCACCGACCGAATCCAAAAATTTGTAATTCTTCATAAATTGATTGCAACTTTGAGTTTACAAATTTTTTGAAGATACTTTTTATTTTCTTATTTTTTTCTTGTTTTTATATGTTCGTTTCAGAAAATCCAATTTGCTATTTTTGTGTCTTCTCACAAATTTGAATTGAAATTCTCTCTTTCAAGTAATTCTGGTTCGTTTGACATCAAAATTGCAAAATATTGATATGATGAAACTCGATAAAGATTTCCGTTGAATAATTTGCTAGGGTATCGGCTGATCTTTAAAATTAGCAAACAAGTGCAAAATTATTTGTCTACGTTTTAGACAAAAAACCTGAACCGATTTTGAAAATTCGAAAACATTTCGAAGAGTATTAGTTATGTATCAAGCTGGTTAAAGTTTACTAAAGATGAAACGAAACATTTGTCCGAAATTAATTGTTGAAATTTTTTGGTTGATTTTGACGAAACTTTGTATGATGATAAAAGTCAAGGTCTTCAAATATTATAAAATATTACATACTTACAAAAAGTGTTTTGATTATAAAAATTTATCAAATTTGTGAATAATAGACCATGTCAAAATCTCTAAATTTTATTATGTCTGTTTTAAAAATGGTTAAAACTTAATTCTTATTGATTAAGTCGATTGATTAACTTTCTTCAAGACAAAATGCAACTTCCTCCTAGCTAAGATTGAGAGGTTGGAACATGAGTTAAAACACTATAAATAAATTAATATGCCCAAAAATTAATGTCGATGCACTATAAATAAAACTAGTAATAAATAATATAAAGTTAAATATAGAAATATTATTTATTATTTTATAGAAATATGATATTTGTTATTATTTTTGCAATGCGAGAGTATTTGCAGAAATACTTTCCTATTGCATTTTTCTTAATATATTTTGATCTAACATTTATGTATTGGCCAATAATTGATTCATTACAATTTCAGAACTAAATGAATGTATGGACACGGCAAAGGCGAAGACCAGGGCGCAAGTAGCACCGCGTAAAGAACGCACTGCTTTTACAAAAGACCAAATCAAACAATTGGAAGACGAATTCAAATTTTGCAATTATCTCACACGTCTTAGAAGATACGAAATTTCAGTAGCTTTGCGTTTAACCGAAAGACAGGTAAGTTAATACTTTCATTCTGTTGGTCATTAATCCTTATTGTATAACGAGCAAGGAAGAGGACTTTCAATTTGTTGCTCCTACTTGTGGTGTTTTTGGTATTATAATTTCTCAACATCAAGTAAATGTAAAATTGTAAACATGCTCCGCCATAGATTCTGGTTAGAATCCCTTCAACGCTGGGCAAAGTTTTATTCTTTTATAATTTAACCGCGTATCGTAGGCCTATAATATTTCATTATGTTACTTGAAACTAAAACATCTATCGTAGTACAAAGATTGATCAAATTCGTCAAAAAATTGTTTTCAACGTTTAGTTACCAAGAGAAGGCCCAGCCGAGCTTTACCGGGATCTAGTCAACAAGATTACCAATTAATGGCTTTCGAATAATTTTTGAATTGTTATATCTGAGCAAAATTGTGAACAAAAAATTTCACACTTTTCGGCTAATTACAAAGTCCTTATCGAGATACATCAAATGGCTTAAATTTTTGAAATCGGCTCAACCGATTTTGAAACAACGTCGACCGAAGGTCAAAAATCGACTCAAATACACATAGGCACATATACTTTATTGAAATCTGCTCTCATTCAATTCAGAATGACCTGAAACGTCGAGAAAACAGAAAATTAGCAAATCGATTTTTTGCAAAAACAAACTTCTTTGAGAATTTAAAAAGTAAAAAAAAATAAAGGGTGTTATATGCAGGTGCGAGGCGTTACCAGTTAAATTACTACATGTACAATATGAGCTTTTATATAGTACTATACTTATACTATACTATACTTTTTTATAGTACTGTACTTATGCTATACTATACTTTTTTATAGTACTATACCAAGGATGAGCAACCCGCGGCCCGCGGGCCGCATGCGGCCCGCCGGATGATTTTCTGCGGCCCGCCAAGCGTTTCTCAACTACAGACTATTTTTCTAGATATTTTATAAAATACGGCTATAAAGGCTGATTTTGTTGTCAGTCAAATACTGGTAAAAACTGTTGTTCGCAAAAATTTTCAGCATTTCCTGATAAAATAAATATTAACTTAAATATTAGTTTAACAATATTGCAAGAAAAATTGAGAAGTTGTCCGAGAACATAGCAAAAACGCATTTCTAAATTTAAAAAAATTAAATAAGTATGTTTAGAAAAAGGAAATATGAACAAATTTTAATTGTTCAAAGCTAGCAACAAAGTTGTTTTCTTGTCAGCTCTGAGAAATTTTTGCGTTTGATAAAAAAAAACGCAAAGAAATTTAAATGTAAATTCTTTTTTTAGAAGTACGTATGTATGCGAACGATTGCACAGGTCCATAAAAAAAGTCGATGGAAAATAATTCATTCATTTAGAAAAATTTATACATTGATTGTGCCAGTTTTTATATATTTTGCGTCCCAATTTTGACTATAGATTTATCTTCAGAAGTAAATGGTACATTGGAAAACATGCACACCCCAATTTAGACAACTTTTTTTGTGGATCTGTGTTAATTTCGATCCATCCACCGATCAAAATTGAGTAAAACATATTAAAGCTGCATACACTATGCTACTTTCCGCTTTAAAAAAATTAAAGAACAAGATTTAAAAAACGGCTTATATCGATCAGCTTATATAAAAACGCAGTGCCAAATTTTTCATTAAAGTTTTCAAGAAAATTAGTTTTTCTGTTTAACTATTATTTGTTTTCATTTTGCATATACACTCGTATATATAAAATATATACTTTTTTCAAATTTTATATTTGTTCTTTTTTTGTTGCAATTTTGTAATTTTGTTGGAATTACATTATTTCCGCGCTCAGTCAATGAATCTTTTTGACTTAATATTATTTCAGACTTTTGAGTTTATAAAAAATTTTCAATTTTATTCAAATTTATTTTTTATGGGTTGTAATAATTTTTTTAAATTTTGTTCTTTATTTTAATTTTTTTAATGCGGAATGGAAAACTACATACAACTCCAAATTTCACTCTCTTATTTCACAATAGTCATTTTAGCAGATAATCGATCAATTAACAATTATCGTCTTTTTTGTGAACGTTTATAATAGATATTCGATCAAGACTTTTCTGAGCTTTTAGAAAAGCTTAAATTTATCCGCTCTATCCGCTGCAACATTTTAAAAACAATTCTTACATATTGGCAACGAAATGGTCACCTTCGATAAAACTAACTGATTTGCAGGCCTATCCTATTGTACAAATATTTCTCGATGTGCTTAAAAAGTACCTAGTTTTTGAATGCCCTGCAAAAGGAGTAATTTTAGCAATAAAAATTTTAAAATTTAATATTAAAATCTGAAGATAAAACTGCTTTTAAAAGAAAATTGAATTTTTTTTCAGTGTTATCATAATTTAAATATGGACGTTAGTATTTTAGCGTTGCGTTGGGAAATTTATCAATGTAATTTGTGTTAGTTACCTCTTTCATTTATATACTACATATTTATACATTCAGAATTAGTTAGCCATTTTTAATACTAATGATTTTCTAAAAATATTTCCTGTGGCAAATCGTTTCCGGGTCGGCTAGTATATATATAAATTACGTGCGGCCCGCCATGATATTTTAAAATTTAAAATGGCCCGTGGGTTAAAAAGGTTGCTCGCCCTTGTACTATACTTATACTATTTTTCTCTACAGTATCTCTACTATAATATTTTAAGAACCATGCGTGGGTTCCGTGGTGTAGCGGTTATCACATCTGCTTTACACGCAGAAGGCCGCCGGTTCGATCCCGGCCGGAATCACATATATTTTTTATAAATTATATTAAAATTTTATAATAATTTTGTAAGACTTACATATTGACATTGTCGTAACTTCCTTACAATGTCCTTTTCGGTTGCATCAGAATTAAAAACCTTGACTTCAAAAAAAGTTATAAAAGAGTCAAACTTTGACACTTGATTACACTTATCACCCGTTTTTTACCTTTAACGAACGAGCGCATTTTCTAAAACTATGACAGGTCGACGGATTTTTAAAAAATGTTTTACTCCATTGCTAATATTGTTTTGTGATGAATATTGAAATTTATTTTGTAACGGCATTGTGCCCATTTTGAGAATTATATGAAAAAAGACAAAATTTTTGAGGCGTCCATGGCGGCATTCGTTCGTTAAGAGTTATAATATCACTTCCACTTCTAATTTCATATCACTATTTGAATTTATGAATTACTTTCGTATAATAATTTGTTTATTTATAAAAAAAAACTGTTTATTTTGCAATTCTTCGTCATTGTTGTCAACGACCAAACCAATAACAACAATGACATTATTATTAGTGTCAGTGCTGTCAGTGAACTTGCATAACTGAATTATCCTCATATCCTTTGTGACGTAAGTTCAGGTTTTTCAAAACTACCAACATCGGAATGTTAAAGTATTAACCTGCGTTCAAAAATTTAATATGGATATTTATGTACAAATATATGTAAAAACTAATAATAATAATAAACTAGTAAAATAAAACACTTGTTTAATATCCTTTTACGTTAAAAAAATCACTAATACCATGATATGAGGATATGCACTATGGTAATATATGGGTAATATAGTTATAATAAGCAATTTGTACTGCCTATTCTGTGCTCAAGATGAAAAGCTCACATTTTTCTTAAATTATGAAATAGTTGAGGCATTACAGCAATTTACAATCACATTATATCTTTTGTTATGTAAAAGGTATAGGCTCATATCTTGTTATTCTGGAAATCACACTCCTATAGAAAATTGTTCTTTTCTAAATCGTGTTAAATATTTATATAAATATAACAATTATTGTATCATTGTCATACAATTGTATATTATATAATTTATAATACAAAACTGCTTAAAATTAGGAAAATAAAAAAAAATCATGTTTACATTGAAAAAATAAAAAAGAACACTTAAAATAGCAGAATTAGATTTTGTTTTCACAATTGCATGTTACATTTAAGTACCAAAATGATTGTAAATGTTGAAAATATACTAGGAATTACGAATTGCAGGTGAAATGATTATTCAACAAATTTTATTAATGTGAACAAACATTTTCAAAATTATGAAATGAGATGTTTATTATTTTATTATTAATAAAAAATTAATTAAAATATCTGTATAATATATTTCAGGTAAAGGTTTGGTTCCAAAACAGAAGAATGAAGTGGAAAAGAACAAAAACAAATTGCAGTGACAATGGAGATTTGTGAGGTCTACATATACTGTTTTATAAAAACAAACCAATTTAGACATTACATAACATTACTAACTTCAAATTTAACTGTAACATATTTCATAATCACTTGAAATGTAATGTTTTTCATATAAAATATTTTATTCTTCAATTTTTATATTAAAGAATCAATTAGAAATTCACTTGTGTTTCTTTGTCAGTTGGGCTTTATTTTTGAGAACTGCACCTTTTGCTTTGACCATATCTTTAGCAGCTTTTGTAAATGCAGTGTTAGGTATCAATTTTTGTTTATTGTTAACCCTTTTCTTAGTAATTCCACCCATTTCTCTTCGCTTCAAAAGTTTATTCATATCTTGCCTTGGCAATTTATTCATTTGATTCTTTTTATTTTTTATTGCTACGAAATTATGTGCATTTTCCTGATCACTTTCCCCTTCATCGTCATTTTCATCTGTGGCATCTGATTCCTCCTCAGAACTCATATCATCGTCATCGTCATCGTCTTCATCATCCACCAACTCTTCATCTGAACTAAAATTATAAAAACATATAATACAAGTTGAGAGATAAAATAACCTTACATGATATCAGCTTTAAAATTTGTCTTTTAAATCTCATTATCATTGATTATTGATTCCCTTTGAGCTGTGTCACAACTTTAAAAGCAAAAATTTGAAATTGGTTTGAATGTGATGATTGTATTGATCTTGTTAAATCATATTTTAGTTAAGATGTAGAGGAACTAATTTTCTAAATGCATCTTTCAACTAGACCATAACATCTTGAAGTGAATTTATTATTATGAAAAGTTAATATATTGTTTGATTGCAAATTTGCAATAGATTTACAGATTACAGATACAATAACAACAACAAGGTTCAATGAGAATAAATACCTTGCATCACTTTCCAAATCAGATTCATCACATTCATCATTGGAGCTATTTTCGTCAGACATTTCTTCGTTACTGCTTTCCGTTTTCAGACCTTCACTATTTGATGAATTTTCAGATATTACTTCAACTACTTTACTAGGAGAGTTATTTGCAGAAGGTAATTCAAAATCAATGCCTTGTTCTAGCAAGCGCTCTTTTATTTTATTTAATCTGAAATGTCAAATAATAAATTAGCATGGCAACTTTGACCTGTAATAAACGAAACATGATATAATATTGTAATACTTCATTATTATCTTTAAGAACAAATATAAATAATTTAGATTCATAACATTCATGCATGCACAAATGCATTAATTCTTTATATTAATAGATAAATTATTAAAAGTATCTTAAATATATATAAAAATACTTTTCAATTTTTTTCTGTCGTCTTGTATCGTCTTTATCTCCCTTAAGTCTACGATTCTTATTCTTTACTTCATCTTTTCGAGAAATTACACCTGGATACTTCTTTTGTGTCCAATTGCGTCCAGCAAAGTAATTTTTGTCAGAAGGAACCAAAGTTGCTATAATCAAATAAAACTTGGTTAAAAAAAGACAGGTAAGATATTCAGAAAAATTTTTCTGTGCTTGTAAGATATTTAATGACTGATTATATAACATTTAATAAACACTTTGTAATGTTCTGTTGATACTTGACATTAGTATTGTATGATAATATATTTGTAATTTGCAATTTCTATATAATTCAAAAAGCTAATTGTGAGTATTATTGAAGAATTGTTTCAAAGTATGCTACCTTTAATAAGTCGATTTCCCATAAGATAATTATTCATAGTCGCAGCAACAATCTTTGCCACATCAAAATCTGCAAATTCAACATATCCATATCCTTTGCTGCGTCCAGTCTTCTTGGAGCGTGATACTCGAGTCTTTTTAACTTTTCCAAATTGTGAAAAATATTTAAAGCATCTCTTGCTCATAAAATCCATGAGGAATTCTCCCGAAGTAAACGACACCGCTCTTTTTGTGTATGGGAATAAAGTTTTTGCCACTGTCATCTGTGTTTTTTTGATTCTTTGGCTAAAAACAAGAAATAGTAAAGTAACAGAAAGAAAATAATTTATGAAATAAGTATCTTTTACCGTCAAGACTTTGCTCTTTTTTCTCATAGCCTTTGATAATCTAGGTTTGGAAGATGATTGTTTTTTTTCCATTGAAGGAACTGGTTTCTTAGCGTTTATTTTCATGATTCCAGATTAAAAGTTAAATTATTCTATCTCCACAATATAACGTCAACAAATATAATTAGTATAAGCCGAAAACACGTTGTTGAAGTTTTTAATGTAAGTTAGGTTAATAATACTTGTTTAAAAAAGAGTGTTACCCGTAGTAATTATTGGTCTCTATTTTCAATTCCATCATGTATGGCAATACTAATAGTCCGATAAACGCGACTTCTGAATAAAATATTTAAAATAATATTTAAAAGAAAACAGTAAACTCAATTCATAAAATCATTAACTACATAGTAACTACGCTTTCTTCATTTACACTCTTCATTATTTACAAAATAAATTGTAAATACGGACTATTAATGATTATTATAAACATATAATTATTATTAATTTACTATAGCAAATTAAAGTTATACTTTATGTTTTGTATTATTATAAGGATAGAAAAATACGAAGATTATGATAATTGCTTAAATAAGTAAAAGTAATATCAAATATATGTTTTCCTCATAATGTAACCTTATGCCATCAAACGGTCTCTAATTTTGGTGAATACCATTCAATTAAAAATCAGAAACTGTGTTTACCTGCCTTCTGGTTTTTATATAAAAAACATTTTTTGATAACTTTATACAGTAAACAAAAAAACAGAATTATATAAAGGCGTAATTCTACATACAAGTATAAAAATAATAATATTTATTATGTTTGGCGACTCAATTAGCTCTAAGGTATAAATACACGATTTTTATTCAAAATGTAATATTTTGTGTAAGATTTTAGTACTGATTATACAATTATTATTATTACAATTAGTCTACATTTTGACATATATCAATTTCATATCGCATTAGTGAGTTTTATGTATTACTTCTAATATATTGAAGGTATCGTATAATAAATCTTGTTTCATAAACTATAATGAGGTGTGATTTTTAATTTTCAACACGTAATTTTACATTTTTAATATATATTCTCAATCATCTAAACCTAAACCATTAAAATTTTGACGTTGCCTCTCGTACTATGAGCAAATTCTTGAAAATGACATATCAAAATTTAGGATGACGTGACGATAAGAAATTGTTCAAAATTAAAAAAAAAATGTTGAAATTTAGGTCAATCAGTAAATAAAACTCATGAATAGAGTAGATACGTACATACATTAATAATGTATGTAGGAGCAGGTATGTTTGCAATATCTAAATTGGTAATATTAAATTAAGAATTACGTTTAATTCGATTTATTGATGTAATTTTAGATGGAACAATCCATCAAGGTGGTCAGCCTTGGGGATTGAGGAAAATTATAGGCCTTTTTTGGGCCTTCATAGACTTTTTTGTCAAATTGTGAGTAACGCAATAATTATTGCATTGTTTTATGTTAGTTAAATAACCACCCACAATTTGGTTTCAGTTTCAAAACCTTGTTTAATTTTGATACTAAAACTGAGCCACGATCAGGAAACAAATGGATCTAAGGGATCTGGGTTAGTATAGTAACATATATCATTATTTATAATCATTTTGTCAATGAAATGTCTGAAAGATAATAAATAAATTGTTCATTTGCAGACCTTTTGATGGTCCTGGTGCACGCAAAAGGATAGGAAGAATTAACACCCTTCCCACATGTGATATTCCTGGTGGCGGATGAGCTCGTTAAGGCTCTTCGGGATGTAATTAGTCTTGAAGAGCCAATTGAATCTGCTGCATTTTTTCAGTTTAAACTCTAGAATTTTCAAAAACTATAAGTTATAATCAATTTGTACAAATAATTATTGAATTTTGTTCTTATCTAATCCTTTAATTTTACAAGATATGCACAGCAGCAGTTTCGGAAACTAGATAAACAAATCTTATGGATTTTATCCATCATATGACGCTTTATCCATAAACTTTATTAGAAGTGGGATTTAGCTGAAGTTTGATTTGGAATCTAGTTATCTTTTGATCATACTTATCTGGATTTTTCTTATCATGTTTATACAGTTTGTTTTTGTAAATGCCTAAATACATTTTATCAATAAAAATACAGAATTTATTCTTTTCATTGTCTACTATGTTTTAATATTAAATATTGTGCTTTATACCACTGATTATGAAATTTTTTTAAATATCATATTGATTGCCAATTAAAATCACTATTAAATGTACGCATGAAGTCTCTCTTACACATTACTGTTTTGATGTTTAAATTTAAATGAAAATATATTGAATGGCATTTTTAAATGTTTTTCATTGTGAATAACATTTTTATACAAATAGAATTGTTATGTTTTATAAAACATAAATATTCAAGTATCTAAAATTCTTTTTGAAATTACCTAAATATAATAAATTGGTAATAAAACTGAGTTATTTGTTTAATAGCAAACAGTTGAGAAATAAATAGGAAGTTTGTTAATTAATAATGAACGTAAAGCCCTATAATACACAAATAAATTAATTTTATTACATAAAAATATTTCAGGTCCCACCGAGACTTGAACTCGGATCGCAGGATTCAGAGTCCTGAGTGCTAACCATTACACCATGGGACCTTGAATGCGACGTGTTATCTCGCGGTATATTCGTTACAAATTACTTGTTATCCGTATTAATATTAGCATTACGAATGATTTGTTATATATATTAAGTCAATAATAAATTATTTTGAGACATGTAAATAAATATTATTATTTGAAAACTCCCTCTCAATAACTCTTTAGGTGAAACAAGTCGAGAAGGTGAAATAATCGAGCTATATTTTATATGTAGGCAAAAAGAATAAAATGCCTTGCTTTTTTCATCAATGTTTTTATTATATAACATATTCTCCGAATAAGTCAACTAATTAAAATTATATTATATCTATGGCTTATGTAATCTTAATAAATATCACAAAAATACAGAAGGCACAAGCTTTTAAAGCTTTTCTAATTCGTGTTTGTCTTTAAGGCAACCTATTTATTATTCTATACTTATATGCTAACATTCATTAACCATTCATCCATCATTTAAAAAAAATTGTAAAAATATTTTCACAAAAAGTTTCATTGCGAAAGTTTTTGTACTTTACTGAAACATTATGTATGTCAACCTGAAAAATATATATGTAACAAAAATATATTATTTGAACATCTATTTCAAATACGTTGATGCAAGACTAAATATTAAAAACTAAAAGCGATTATCGAAATATCTCGCAAATCGTTTCGAAAAATTATCGAAATATCTCGCAAACGGTATCCATGCAATTTTATCCTAATATCAGACTTTCAATAATATTATTAAACCGATTCTATTACTAAAATAATATATATATATATATATATATATATATATAATAATTTATATGTAGTAAACAAAATATTTTTGTCTCTTTCAATTAATATACAAATATGTACAAACAATTTTTCACTTAATAATAACTAATCGACATCAATTGGTGCTTTTCAAATATAAATAATTTTATTTATTAAACCGGCGATAAGATAATTTATTTATATATTTATTTATATAACCACATCTGATATCGTTTTAAGTAAATACTCATAAATAAAGAGCAAAGTACGAGAATAAACAACTTTGTTCAAAAGTTTATACTGTTTCACTATTTATACTACTTCCAGATATACGCAAAATGATTCAATGCTCAATTGATTTATTTACTATGCTTTAAATGCACGGTTTGATCAGTATCAAGATCACTTTTAGGCATTCACGTTCTCATGTTTTTCTACAAACAGCTCAGTTTTCAAAAGTATAGTTAAAATTATTCAGTCGTAATATATTACTCTATGTCTTTACATCAACCTTTTTTTAAATAATCTACATGATGTTTTTGATATGAAATCAACCATATTCACACATAGTTTTCGATACTGCTGTTGCTATTCATATTCACTTCGTTTCTCCTTGATACCTGAAGTCCGCCATTTCTCATCATTTTCTTGTGAAGAGATGGTTGGCCATGGCCTGGACATGCTGCGCCACTATATTGTCGTTTATCCATCGAATCACTATTGTTGGCAGCACTTCCGGAAGAACTACCAGACATGTTGTTGTTCTGGGAGAGCAAGGACATTTCCATCTCGAGCTCGGTCAGTGTCACGCTTGCATTCTGAAAGGGCGACCCTGATACAAGAATAACTATGGTCCTAACAGGATTGTTGACCTCAAACATGGGTCTTATGTGCAAATTTCAATTTGTAAAGCCAAAAAACCTATTCTGGGATAATCGATATAAAATTGAAAAATGTTAGCATTTTTCTTTCTATCTAAAAATTGATTAATAAAAAAGTAAGATTGTTTATGCAATATTCAAATCATTTTCGCAATTACATATTTGAATCAATATCATTAATAAATATAGTGTACTCCGATTGAGTTAAATGAATACAAAAAATATATTAAATTAATAATGATTTTCGCTATTGCAAATTGGTTGCATTCCCAAAATTTAAATGATCATATAAAATAGTATATAGAGTATACCAGAATAAGCTCAAATGATTTTACAAAATAATGGCATCAAGCAATTTCACAGCATAATTTAAAAAACAAACCACAATCACGAAAATTTAAAATATTTTAAATTTATGAATTAACTACATGATAGTTTAAAAATTTGTTAGATTTCAGCATGATATTCCAAACCCATTTTGTAAATCTTATATTACATTTCATAATGCCATTTTATAAAAGTAACAATGTCTTAAAAAATAAATAAAATAAAAAATAGCATGAATGCTACTCACTTTATCAGATTGTTCTTCAGCCAGCGGATTAGATGTAATATTAACTCTTGCACATCCATTGGCGGTGATTTGAACAGTTTTCAACTGCAAAATAATTGCTATTCATTAAGACAATGGAATAATATATTTATTTTAATACATAATTATTCTACATATATGTATAATCAATTTACCTGGTAACTATTATGTGGATTAATAGCGCTTGCTGTTATATAACCATTAGATTCTGAAATATGACCCTCTTGTTTATCTTGTATGTTGGCAAAATCTGCAAAAATTGTTTTTTTATACAGTATTAGAAATACACAAAAAAATATGATTTTGTTCTCTAATATCCGACAGAAAATAATATATATATCTAATAACAAATCTTACCACCATCTTTATTATCACTCGATATCCTGCCATCTTCATCTCCCTCGTCTCGCTCACTGTGATCTCTCTCATTCTTTTCTCTCTTTTTCTTTCGCAAGGCATAAATTGCAGCAGCACCTAACACCAGAACAGCAGCTAAACCGCCAGCAGTTCCTCCGCCTACGGCCAATGCTCCAGATGATGAATCACCTTGGCGGTTTTTATCTTTGTCCATAGTCTCATTCATGTTAACTACAGATGAACCGGAAGAAGCAGACGCTGATGCTGCTGATGACGGTCTGTGATCAAGTATTACCATAGGAGTGGGGGGCTCAGTTGGTTGTTCTGAAAATGATCAAGTATTAACACTGTTAATGATGAACATCTTGGAAAACTGGGATGGATTTAAGATAGTTTTGAATAATGAAAAAATAGTTTTGATTCTGTAAATCTATAGCCTAAGACTTATTTGTATAAAACTTACTCATGGTCCTTTGAGTTAAAATCGCTGAAAAATCTGATGCTCCATCAGCAGTAAAACTCTGCACTTTGACCTCATATGTAGTATCAGGAGTTAAATGCTCGATGCGATGAACCCGAGACCTTTCGCCATCTACCGTTTCTTTGACATATTCCCCAGCTGTTGAAGCTGGACGGAAGTATAAGTAAAATCCATCAGCTGGTCGTGTTGGGTCTGGAATATACTGAAATTACAAAATTATTTAAGTAAAACACATAAATAATACATAGTATTTTATTTACTTTAAAACAACAACATTAACAATATCATTTATAAATTACAAATACCATCATCTTTTAAGAGTGATTACTGATTAGGTTCTAGATCAATAATTACCTGCCAATGAATTTGTATGACGGTGGGTCCCAAAGTTTCAGTTCGTATTAGTATCGGAGCAGGTAGCAATCTCTTACCAAGAAATTCACCACGTTGCAGATGGAATTTTTCTGAATTTGGTCCTTGCATATTATCATTATTGGAATATACAGCTGCTATGTGAAACCTTTTAAAACAATGATAAATAAATTAATTTAAAAAACATAAAATTATAATGCATTTTGATTACATATAATTCAATTACTTTAATTAAACGAACAAATTTTTATTGCACTTTAAATTCTTATAAAATTCTCGATTACCTATAAACATGATCAGGTTCAAGGTTATTAACTTCATAGCTTCTTATGTGCGGTGGTATTTCGTCATTAGTTGTTATCCATCCTTTGCGCGGATGAGTTCTTTGATGGGTTTGCGAAGACGCTGTTAAATCCCTATATTGCACCTAATAAAATTTAAATAATGTAATATTTATTTAGAAAATCAGTATTTTGTTTATTTACCTTGAAAAAATAAATTTCAAGTCCATCGTTGTCTGGCACTGACCACCGAACCATTACAGATTCATCTGTAAGTCGGGTAACATTTGGTCTTGATGGAGGAATCATAACTGTTGAAATAAATTAGACTTGGTGATATTTGTTTTTATTTGTAATTTTTGAGTCTATAATAATCTTGAATTTGTAATAATGTGAAATTTTATTTTCATCATACCATTCTTGTTTCGTTTCTTATCACGACCCCTGCCTCTTCCACGGCCTTCTTTGCCGCGATGTCCTTTCTTTGGGGTACCACTTGATCGATTGCCACCCTGTAAATTTAAATAAATAAAATGCATACAACTTTTAAAATAGGCAGATTCGATTGATTTATGTTCTAATATTCTTTACCTGATGTCTATCATCAGCCATCCTATGATGTGGAAGACTTTTTCCATCAGATGGTTCTGCATATTGTCTATGACCCATCTTCCCTATTGTTCCATTAATTCCTTCAGCGTTCTTATTATCAGTTTCTGCTTCACCAGTCACTTCAGCAACAGAAACTCTTAATACACCAGCGCGATAACGTTCCCCAACTTTGTTCGATGCGAAGCATTGCACAGCACCAGCATGTGCTCTGGATACAGGGTCTATAATCATCCAACCCTGAAAAATATAAAGATATGAAGATTTTTAATAGAAATTCTGACAGAAAATATTATTTAAAAAAACAACTTCAATAACATAAGGAAACCTATTTAACAAATTTGTTTCTTAAGTTAAGGTGATGTTGTTAATATGTTATTAATTTGTAATTCCCACAAATCCTTGAGATTTAAAAAATGAAAAAAACTACCTTCTCCACAGTGACCCCTGGTTCGGTTTCAGCTGGTCTAGCATTTAGCATCCAATAGATCTTCGGAGGCGGTACGCCAAAAGCTGAACAATGTAAATCAATGCGAGATCCTTCCTCGGCAAAAAGAGATAAATTAAATTGTGGTTGAGAGTTTGGGATTAATGAGCTCTCAGGAAACTCCGGTGCAGATTCAACATCTAGTCGAATCTGTTGTTTGACAGGCGGGTATCTACAAATTAAGAACCAGTTATTTTGCAATTAAATGATGAGCAAATTAATACAATAGGTTTTAAAAGTGATTATTATAAATAAGCAATTAACCTTCTTGATGGATCAATCAAAGCGCATTCATATAACCCAGTATCTTGAAGTGTAGCATTTTCAATTAATAATCCGTATTCAGTGATTAAAATTCGCGGCATGTTGAAAGTTCTTCCATCCGCGCCATTACCCATCATTTGATCGGAAGTCTCATAAAGATCCGAAGATGATCTATATTTTCCGTTTCCAATTTGAATGGGATCTAATCCAGTATATTTGTTATCATTTCTTTGGTGATGAGTTCCATCTGTAACACAAAATAATCCATAAAAATAAACTGTAAATAAATAAGTCACAAAAACTTAAAAGAGTTTTTAAGATACTTTATTCGATTTAATTGAACTGTTAAAAATTATAAATAAAGCAGAACAATTTCCCCTGTACAAATAAATTATAAATTTTTGTGGGATAAGCATCAGTTCAATAAAACCTTTTGCTACCTTAAGCACTATTATCATTAATGTTGGCTTATATCTACCTTTACTGTTATCTGCTTGCCCAATAATTGCACCCTGCTTAGACCATTGAACACTTGGTTGAGGTTCACCGACACCGACACATTCCAGAAGAACTCGAGTTCCTGCTGCGACAGTGTATAAAGATCGCAGAGGTTGAAGAAATCTAAAAAATAATTGTAAAAAGTGATAATTTTGCATAATGATGAGATATTCTTCCTTAAATCAAATCAAGTTCTTTCTCCTGTTACAATCGCCAGCAACATTACACCTAAGTCTGTTTTTACACGGTAGATTGGTTCTAGAAGAAGCCGTGTAAAAAAGAAAACCGTGTAAAAAAAGACATTGATCTTATACAGAAATGGGTGATTTGTTCCTAATCTCTAAAACCTATTAAAATTAGTGAAAAACAAGAATTTTTAAGAACAAGAATTCATGTTTATTTTATTAAATCAAATATATAATGCTTATTTTCAAAAGCATAGTAATTAATGATAAAAAAGATATGCACTCTAATCTTAAAAGTAATATAAATTCCCCTAAATTAGTGCGATTCACATTTGCTTTGACCAGTAAAAATTGTTTGTACGCACTAAAGGGGAATTCACTTAAATCTTTAAGCTAGTGTTCGCAAACTATTGATACTATCGATGGTTTCAGACTTTTTTCTTTCATAAATACTTTTTTGTGATATCAACATACTTCGCTAAAATTAAATTTGACAAAAAAAAAATTAAGTACATAACATTTCAAATCGTGGTAAATGAAAGAAAATCGTGTAAAAAAATTAAAAATATTCAATTTTCAAACAGTGTTATATCAAAACCGTGTACAAAAAGACCGTGTAAAAACAGACTTAGGTGTACTAAGTTTATTTATTAAAGTATACCATATGTTAATGATTTATTTTATTATTTACTACATATACATAAGCAATTAAACTAGTGTAAAAAAATATAAGTCAAAATATAAAGGTAGACATTATAATATAATTTTGCAATGTCAAGTTTTTAGTCACTTTCTCCCCGTATAACGTATAATTTTATATATTAATTTACAAACAATTTACCTTGGCGGTTCTCTTTGCTCGGGCCTGTAAACCTGAAGACTAAATGCAAGAGTTGTCGCTGCGACTTCATCATTTATTTCATTAAGGGCCGAACAGGTGTACCGACCCGAGTCTGATATTGCTACAGACTCCAAAACAACTGCACCAGATGGTAATTGCGGCACATTTGGAGCAAGCGGTCTATTGAACCTGTAAAGTACAATCTTTGATAAAAGTTTAAACTAACAATTAACATTTAAATAACAATTTTATAAATAAAAAAGGAATTGAAATGATCTCGGAATTATACATAAAAGTAAGATTAATTATAACCGTATGTCATATTAGTAATTAGATGGTTATTGAAATTTTACTTATTGTTAGCATCTGGACCTACGGAATTGAGCTTTGGGGATGTGCTTACAAATCAAATATAGCTATAATGCAGAGAACTCACTCAAAAATTTTACGTACAATAATTAATTCTTCGTGGTACATTACAAATGAAACCATTCACAACGATCTCAACATGAAAACGGTGCAATTAACGTTCAAAGAATTTAAGGAAAAATACAAACGTAAATTGAAATCACATGCAAACCCATCAATAGGCGACATTATCCAACCATTTGGCGTAAGAAGATTAAAACGTCAATGGCCTTTAGATTTAGTCTTAGATTAGCTTCAATATATCATTATCTTTTAAATTGTTAAACTAAAAAGATCTCACTGGAGTTCTTCTTAGGCATCGCTCTCAATTATTGTCAATTTAGCTTATAGGAATTCTTGTATGTATTTCTGATTGCTGAATAAAACAGAGTTTAAAAAAAGTAGCATATTTTCGGATTTCAAAACATTAGGTAATGATAAACTGCGAAACAAGAATAGTTTACGTTACCAGCGCATATGATTTAAGTCAAAACATATGTGTTTTTATGCATGATTATTCATACATAAATACATTTACAAATAATTATATATAGTGCAACTCAACTGTTATTTACTATTCAATAGTAAGATGGGCGATTTGCCAAACCATTCATAACAGCCTGAGCTCAAATTGGACTTCAGGAATGCGCGAAAGAGATGAATGTTCACAACATCTTAATAGAATTGTTTTGGCAATAAAATAATTCTTAGCCAACAAAATTTATTGCCAGAATATGTCAACGCATTTATATAAATACTTCATCTTATTTTAAAACTAACGGAGACATTGATTAAACAGAATTTAATATTCGATTAATTTTAAAATACGAGGTCTGTTCAAAAAGTACCCGGAATTACTAATAATTAAATTTCGCGGGTCTGGAGTGTCTGATTGTCAAAATTTTTTTTTTTATTGTGTTGGTATACATGCCCCTAAAGTATGATGAAATTTTCAGCTATATTCACTGTTTACTTTGTCTGTGGTAGTCGCTAAGGTTCGACGTGTTTTTCTGAGCTCGGCGATTTTTACAATGGAAGAATTGAAAAGTCAAAGAATTTGTATTAAATTTTGCGTAAAAAATGAAATAAAGTGTTGCAAAGTGCAAAAATTCACCAGATATGGCTCCGTGTGACTTTTTCCTATTCCCAAAGTTGAAGAGACTCATGAAAGGACGGCGGTTTTCCTCGATTGAAGAAAATCGCTGAGAGTGCTCAAGGACATATCAAAAAGTGAATATCAAGGGTGCTTCGAAAATTGGAAAAAACGCTGGCATAAGTGTATTATATCTGGGGGGACTACTTTGAAGGGGGACCACATTAATGTAGACGAATAAATAAATATTTTTTTGAAAAAACGAAAATTCCGGGTACTTTTTGAACAGACCTCGTATGTCTCAAAATCCCTATTTCAAAATCTCTTTTTGCAGATTTTTTAGTCGCAACTTTAATTACGAATTTATTCTCAACTATCTCCATTATAAATATTTTAATTGACTTATTCTAATAATTTTCACTAAACTCACTTGTAAAATTGTATTACAGCCTGAGGACTTGACTTAACCTCTGGACATCTCATCATAACTCTGCTGCCCACTGGAGCCCTTAACCTAAGTCCATCACTATCTCTTTGAGATGCGATCCATTCTGCATCCAGCCGAAAGTCATCCAGGGCAGCCAGTTCTAACCGAGCTGGTGTCGAAACCAGAGACAGAGGTCCAAATCGCACTGAACAACGAAATTTTCCAGAACCAGTTGGAAGATGAGGGTCTGCAAGAACTCGTAGAGAACCGACCATTCCATGGAATGACATTTGATATCTAAATAAATAAAAAATATATGAAATATATTATATATGATATAATATATAAATATAAAATATATCAAATATATAATCTTATGTGTAATCTATTTTTGTAAACTAAATTAATTACTAATTAATTTGGGGTCTGATGCTTCTTGGGAAACAAATCAATACACAAAACCATGCATTCTTATCTTCTAGATTAATCAATGTAAATAACAATTAGAGAATATTAATTAATTATAAATAATATAATATAAAATTTTACACCAATTTTTAATACGTAATTTAATACCTGATTGCACCTGAATGCATCATATAAGCCTATCTCTAGATAAACCTTCTCAAGATGATAAACACTTATCTCATAATTCTAATGTAAATAATATTACATAATAATGAAGATAAATACTAGTACGACGTTTAATGGCTATAAATATAAATCGCTAGTAAATGTTGTAATGGATGGTAAAACAACATGAATTATTTACTGGTTCTTAAAGTTCAAATTAATTATTAAGGATTATTCAATTTGCTAGAGTCATTGTAATTGCTGATTGATTATATGACTTATCACGACATTAGTGTTATTTAGAAATATTAACATGTGTGTGTATTCAGTAATTTAAATACTAACTAATACGTCATTGTAATTCATTATTGAAATAGTTAAAAGTATAAATTATAAGCTTTCATAAACACAGGACAGTCAGAGTTAAATAAGCTCTATGAATTTTTTTTATTAAATTACAAGATGTATTATCAAAATATTGCATACCTATGCAGGTTCAAAATTGAAAGATATAATTTTTTCACTTAATTAATTAATAACTTTAACTTTAATAAATATAAAATAAAATAAATAAATCTTCTTAAATTTAATATTTCCTTTTAGTATTTTCTCTGTTTCTTACATATTATTCTAGTTAAATTTAAACAAAAACTCGCCCACAATATAACTTTAATGAAATCTTTATATATCCTTGATATTTATTTACATTTTATTAGCATTATCAGTTTTGCTCTTCCTCTTGGTTATTCACACAACGGCGTCTTTGTTCGAAATATTTTTGTTCAAATATTACGATTATATTTTTTTACGGAATATTTGCTGAAACATGTTCAAAACTAACAATAAATTTTGTTAAGTTGAAACAATAGATAATATTTTTTGTAAAATCCTATTTTTTATCGAGATGTAATTTATCGGATGAAAGTATGAGTAGTATAATAAGCAAAATAATTGCAGAATAAAGGAATCATAGGAAAAGAATTATATTCTACTGAATATTATTAGAAAAAAATCTAAATAATTTAAAAAATTACTAAATAAGAGTTATTGAACTCTATATTGAGTTGAGATTAAGTTACAGACATAAAACAAAATTTTCCGTCAATAATACATTTTTAAATTTAGGTAATAAATTAATTAATAATTTTTACAATTACATTTTCATCATTTCACGTATTATTTTAGGCTCCATAATTAAATAATATTTTTTATAATTTTACTAAATAGAGGCTGATGATTCCCATTGGTAGATAAAACCAATTGTGGATAAATTTAGGACCACAGTTAATGGTATAAAAAATAATTATTTATTGGTCGACTTACATTATTGAATAATTATTATTTTTAACTATACATTAGCAATCGAAATATTAGTAAATATATTGAATCTATATAGATATGTAAATATAGATACGAATCAAATATCAATATTATTATAACACTGATAAACCATATAGACCTAAAACAAATAATTTATGTCAATAATATATGATATGCAACCTTTTGATTAATTCACAGTATAAAGATTAGATATTTCAAAATAAATACAAATATTATATCACAACAAATAATATTTTAATTTATTTTGTCAAACTTTTTTAATCCAGAAACGCAAAGTACCCGCGATTATTCTTGTTCTTTTTTAAGATTAGAAGAATAAAATAGAGAGAAAGATAATAAGAAGAATAAAAAATGTTTATTTATTTAAATTAGTCGTGTTAACAAGAATTTCATAACCAATCACCAGTTATGTTATTTATTATTATAAATATAATATAATATAATATTTTATCGAAGACAACATTTGAACTAGATATCAAATATCAAGCAGGTACTTTGGCATAAAATATTCATGGAGGTATCAAATTATAGCGAGTATAGATTTTATTGCATAATATACATGCTGCACATATGTAATTTATATTTAAAGATAAGATTATAATTATGCAGAAATGTTCATTAAATTCGAAACCCTGTGTCGTCTAGAACAGATAATTTAATGTGTTTAATTATTCCCACGTGAATGATTTAAAAATAAATATAATTATCGTTGCGACGAAAAAAGGCGAATAGATTGTGGTTCGTGAATATTAGATATCGATATCACTGCCACTCAATTGAAGTGTTTTAATATGCGATCAAATCAAGTAATTATTATATGACTCTATTAATTTTATTTATTATGATCTATGATTTATTTCATCTTCTATCATAATAATTGTTAATTTTCTCTAATCAGAAGAAAAAAAATTAGAAAAATCTAATCTAACAGAAAAAAGCAATCAGAGTTATGTTTTCCTTTTCGTCCACTACATCTTGTCGACCTTTTTTCCATGAGCACAAGATTCTACCTGTTCCATGCATTTTTCTCCTGATCACCCTCTGTTTTATAAAAAATAATGGTAACCTGTTTAATTTAAACCCAAATCCCGAATGTATTTATTATGACACAACACATAAACTTGTAAAAGATCCCACATTGAAACTGGCCTCCCTCATTTAATACCTTAGATGGTCTGGGTAATGCTTTACAATAAGCTGCCACTAGGTATTAGAGAAGTTGGAAATAGGAAATTTTATAAACTACTCAACACATGTTTTAAAGAGCAAGTGTTTTACTCTATTGATGAGTATTTGAGTTTTAACTTTCAGTAAATTATTTTGTGGAAATTAGAATAAGATTTTAAGTGAACATTTGTTTTTTTAAATTATATTTCATTTTTATATTGTATGTATTATTATCTATTAATTTAAGTTATCTACCATATATTATCTATAATTGTACAATTGTGTTGTATAAATATAAATAAATATAAATAAATAAATAAATAAATAAATAAATAAATAAATTAAACTAATTATGTTTCTATCTGAAATATCTTTCAAAATCAACAATTGGATAAATATATTTAAAATCTTAAATGAATTTATCGAAAGATAGAGAAAGTTATATTAGATTTTGTGATTCAGTTGTAATAATGATCGAATTCCTAAAAAAGTATATAAAAATTTGGTTCCCACGATTGCGCGTTCTGAACAGTTACTTCGGAATAAATAAGTAAGGCAATGACGTAGAATTAATTTTTTATTGCAAATTGATTGTTTATATAATTTTATAACACAATATTTTATATATGCAGAAATTTATTACGAATCAACAAAATCTACACCATGGAAATCTTCAAGGCAGAGCTTCAATAAAAATAACTAGTTGGTATTGGTATTTTGCCTTGGGGCAAGTTACATGAACTTCCCGATATTCCAAATTGATTTATTACACATAATTGAAACCGAACAAACACGTTAACTCGAGTATTTTCTAAAAGAAAATTTTCAAAAATCAATAATTTTTATAATTGAACCAGTTTCCGTAGGACTTTAATGGCTTTAATGAGACCAAGTACTCTATCGTTATACCAAGTAAATCGTCTAATTTTAATTTTAACAAACGTCAAAAAACTACTCATTTTCTCAAACTTTGATGTATTTTTAAAATTAAACTACTTGTCGTAAGGCCGTAATATTTCAGTAAGTTCTATAAGGCCATGATATATATCACCAAAAAAAGTTCCATGAAAATCGGCTTAATTTTTTTTTTCAACAGTTAATTACAAGAAAACGGCTCGGTAGATTTTCACCTAAAACTAATCAGTATTATTCACAACTAATATCTTTCGAACGGTTCTTGATTTTTTAAAATCGATTCGGTAGAATGAGCTTAAATGTGGACGAAAAGTTTAACACTTTTTTTTCACAAAGAAACGGTTCGGCAGATCGTCTCACAAACTATTGTGCTTATTGAGATACATGGAATGGCTTTTAAATTTCTGAAATCGGTTCAGGCGTTTTTGAGCAAACGTGAAATTAGACGATGAAAGGCCTAATTTTGACAAATGCCAAAAAAACGATACCAATTTTTGCAAACTTGGACGAATTTTTAAAGCTAAACGAGTTGTCGTAGGGCGGTAATATTTTAGTATGATCTAGAAGACTATGGTATCTACCGTAAAAAAAATCATAAAAATCGTCGAATTTTTTTTTTAACTTTATTACAAGAAAACGGCCCGGCCGATCTTTACCAAAAACTAATCAGCACGATTCTCAACCAATATCTATCGAACGGTTTTTGAATTTTCAAAATCGATTCAGGATTTGGTTTCATTCGATTCAGAATGGCTTGAAACGTCGAGAAAACAAAAAATTAGCAAATCGGATTTTTTTATGAAAACATAAACTTCTCCTTCGGGAAATTAATAATGTACCAATAGTTTTTTATAACTATATTTTCCAACTCACCCATCCTTATCGAAATCAGCATGCTCATTAAGCTCCTTGTAATCGCTCTCCGACCGATTACCTCCTTCAGGCTGGTGCAACCAGGTCAGTCTCTCCGCCGTCAGACTAAAGCTCGCATTCGAACATAACCTCATCCCCCGCTGGTGCTATCGTGGATTGGGGTCCTCTTGAGATCCATCCGCCTGGTCCAGCGTCATTTGTAACGGAATAAATGGCATCGACCGAGGATCGGTGATGGTGCGAGTGTTTCACATGTCTTCCGTGTCCTAGGTCTGAACATAGCGTACCAGGAGTTAACAAGAGAACGGAAAGAACTAGGGATTTCAGCAGGCGGTGGATGCAGCTGGTGGTGGGTTGTAAGCCTGGTGCGTTGACCGGATGAGGCATGGCGATTTGCCGCCTGCAAAGGTAAAGAATAATTATTAACAAAAAGGAATAATCTATATATAAAATAAAAGTCTTCTTAATATTTAATATGTGTATAGTTGTTTGTTGATAGTTTGAAAATTCGGGATTTTGCAAGACACTTTCAATTTCAAAATACCAAATACTTAAAAATAGAGATCCAAAATATATTTCTAAGAATTGAAAGTCTAGCGATCGATAGATCAGCCTCATATGATAAAATATATCATTTAATAATGTATATTTGAAAAGCAAGTAACATTTACAAAAGAACAGTTTTACATTTTTAAATTTTATCGTAGAGTTCTAGAGATCAGCATAATATCTAAAACGATGCAAAATATATGATTGCATATATGGATATATTTAAAAGTAGGGGAAAGTCCCGTAACGCCGGACGGCACCTAAAACCGGACACTCTATTTAACACGTATTAATTAAGCAAGTATAAATCTTTTCATTTCAAAATACAAGTGAAAGGGGCACTGGAGGCACACAGGTACAGAATCACCCGCCAAGCTTCGCCTGTGACGCACACGGCCACGGCGAGAGCAACCCTTTCCTGTTTTAGGCGCAAAAACACGGCGTCACCTAAATATCAATGGAAGTAATTCTAGTGTATTTATGCATTTATATTTTAGTTGCATTCAAAAATAAAAGTCGTACTTGATTGTTATCCGTAAAATGGTAGAATATTATTAGAAATTTTGAACAATTTTAGTAGGTACCACCAAATGAACGAAAATGTCTGTCCCTTAGCACCGGGCATTTAGTGGTCCCTTAACGCAGGAAGTAAACATATTGATATTTCTTGTGAGAATTGACGTAATTTATTCTGATTATTCAATTTTGTTCTGTATGAGTGCTAACCGTCACTACATACACCCATTTTTCGTATTTCCTAGACGAAAAATGAAAAGCTTATGGTGAATGCACCAGCCGAGAGCATCGGTGTGGCCCAGCCAAAAGGGTAGATAAATAGTGACTTTTTTTTACAATATTAAGAATATTCGTCCAAGACACATGTGCAGACATACCAGTGT